CATTGAAAGTGTTTATCTTTTGTCTTTGCCATTGATCAAACTTCATGCATACATGTTTATTTTCTGTCTTGCATAGTAAAATCCAATTATTTTGTTTGTAAGTCCTAGCTAATCAACAAATCACATAACTAAACTAGGCCGTGAGTCCTTTGGGAAGAACGATACTTGGTCTTACCAAGTTTATTACTTGAACGATTCGGTCATACTTGCCGATTGTGAAACAAGTTTGTGACATCATATTTTGGTGCTTACAAATTTGTCCATCAGCGCCCAAGCCTCGCGAATTTTTTCAGCACTGCGTTTTTTCCTCTTTTTTTGCAGTTCTGCTTGCTCCTTGAGTTCTGACTCCTTCATACTTTGACTCCTCTTCTAAATCACTTCATTAACCTACTAAAATAAGAGAATTTAGTCATAAAATCATTAAGTTCAACCTCAACTCTTATATTAGCACAACTTAACAAAAAATCATGATTTCAAGCAAGTTTCTAAGCATAAAAGGGTGCATTTAATATCAAAATTACATCACAGATAATGGTATTTTCAACTGTTATCATATGACACAAGCAAGCACGTGATTCAATCATAGAAACCTGGGCAAGCTCATTCGTGTTTTCAAAGTAATAGCAATCATTCACAAAACTCTGGAGTTCAATCCTCACACAGGCTAATTCAAGTTCCAACATTTAGATAAACATTCCTGCTCAATATCACAATCACAAGTTTACCTCATGCATCTGTTTCACAATATTGTGAGGAACAACATGTATATTAGCATAATGCATCATCTCAACATCAATCAATATAACCAACATCATAAAGCAATACTCATCACAAACATCATATCATCATCAAACCATTGCATCACAGATTAAGTTTTAAGCAAAGTACATCAAATCCTATACTAATAACAGAAGCAAAATTGCATAAACAAAAGAAATAAGTTTAGAAAGCTGGGTTGCCTCCCAGTTAGCGCTTCTTTCACGTCACGAGCCTGATCCAATAAGCTCAAAGATCAACCAACTCCATGAATGTGGAAAGGCTTTCAACCTCACCACCCAAATAATGCTTGGGACGTTGCCCATTCACCACCCAACTTCTTTGTGGATCTTAAGCAGCTGGATTTGTCAACTTAATTTCTCCATGTGGATGAACATTCTTAACTATAAAAGGACCAGACCACTTAGACTTCAACTTCCCAGGAAAAAGCTTTAAGCATGAGTTGAACAATAACACCCGCTGTCCTAGATGAAAAACCTTCTTTACCAGCTTCCTGTCATGATAAAATCTTACCTTTTCTTTGTAATACCTAGAGGAATCATAAGCATGCAACCGCATCTCTTCAAGCTCAAGAATTCGCTTTCTTCTCCTATCATTAGTATCAAAATTTAAGAACTTCAAAGCCCACAAAGCTCGATGTTCCATCTCCACTGGTAGATGACATCCTTTTCCATAGACTGACTGAAAAGGAGATAGCCCTATAGTTGTCTTCATTGTCGTTCTGTATGCCCAAAGAGCATCATCTAGCTTTTGAGACCAATCCTTCCTTGATGAAGCAACTATTTTCTCCAGAATCCTCTTTATTTCCCTGTTAGACACCTCTGCTTATCCATTTGTCTATCAATGATAAGATGCAACCACCTTATGTTTCACGCCATGGTGCTTGAGTACCTTTGCAAGCTGAAAGTTGCAAAAATGAGATCCTCCATCACTAATGAGTATCCTGGGAGTTCCAAACCTAGAAAAAAAATTTGTCTTTTCAAAAATTTAATAACAGTGCTAGCATCATTCTTGGGACACGCCATGGATTCTACCCCCAGCAATAAAAAAAACTTCAACCTCCAAGATACCTTGTAATGGCATTTCATGTCTTCTAGAGATGCTTCCAGTTCTCTGACATTTATCACAATTTCTAGCATGATTATGAGCATCTTTAAACAAAGTAGGCCAATAAAATTCTGAATAGAGAATCTGTGTAGCTGTTCTTTCTCCATTAAAATGTCCTCCATAAGGTGAATCATGACAATGCCAAAGAATTCCTTCTGCTTCTTCATTAGTAACACAACGTCTCAACAAGTTGTCTGCTCCAATCTTGAATAAAAATGGATAATCCCAGATAAATTGTTTTGCATCATGCAAAAACTTTTTCTTTTGTTGCAAATAAAAATCTTCTAGGATTACTCCTACAACTTTAAAAAATTAGTCATATTAGCAAACCATGTCCTTTGTTGAATATACAAAAGTGTTTCATCTAAGAAAGACTCCAAAATCTCTTTTTCCTTGCTTGTGACTTGACAACTTACTAACCGAGATAGATGAACAACAATCACATTCTCACTACCTGTCTTGTCACGGATTTCCACATCAAACTCTAACAGTAAAAGTACCCATCTAATCAAACGTGGTTTAGAGTCGGGCTTAGTTAGCAAATACTTTATAGCTGCATGATCTGTGTAGATAATCACCTTAGACCCAATGAGATAAGGTCAAAATTTTTCCAAAGCATATACTATAGTAAGGAATTCCTTCTCTGTAGTGGCATAATTCAACTGAGCTTCATTCAAGACTTTGCTTGCATAATAGATGGTGTGAAAAACCTTCTCCCTTCGCTGACCAACTACAACACCTATAGCATAATCACTAGCATCACACATTAACTCAAAGTCTTGATTCCAATCTGGAGCTACAATTGGCGCAGAAACAAGCATCTTCTTCAGAATCTCAAAAGCTTTCATGCACTCATCATCCATTACAAAAGCCACATCTTTGACATGGAGATTGCTTAAGGGTTTGGCAATCTTCGAAAAATCTTTAATGAATCTTCGATAAAACATAGCATGGCCCAAAAAGCTTCTAATTCCTTTCACATTCATTGGTGGTGGAAGTTTCTCAATGACCTCCACTTTGGCTTTATCAACTTCAATTCCCCTGGAAGAAATCTTATGACCCAAAACAATTCCTTCAGTTACCATAAAATGACATTTTTCCCAATTAAGCACAAGGTTTGTTTGGACGCATCTCTTAAGCACAATATCTAGGTTAGCCAAGCACACATGAAAAGAATCACCAAACACTAAAAAATCATCCATGAAGACTTTAATGAAGTTTTCTATGAGATCTGTAAAGATTTCCTACATACACCTCTATAATGTAGCCGGAGCATTACATAATACGAATGGCATTTTTCTGTAAGCAAATATACCAAATGGACATGTAAATATCGTCTTCTCCTGGTCCTTTGGATCTACCACAATTTGATTGTACCCAGAATATCCATCCAAAAAACAATAAAAAGTCTGACCTGTCAATCTTTCCAAAATCTGATCCATAAAAGGAAGAGGAAAATTATCCTTCCTTGTGGCCTTATTTAGCTTTTTATAATCAATGCACATCTGCCACCCAGTAATTGTCCTAGTAGGAATAAGCTAATTTTTCTCATTATAAATTACTGTCATTCCTCCTTTCTTTGGCACTACCTGTACTGGACTTACCCATGCACTGTCAGAAATAGGATATATAATACCAGCCTCCAGAAGCTTCAGAACTTCTTTTCTTACCTCCTCCTTCATCACAGGATTTAGTCTTCTTTGTCGTTGAGCAATTGGTCTATAATCATCCTCCATAAATATTTTGTGCATGCAATAAGTTGGGCTTATACCTTTAAGATCTGAAATTGACCATACAATAGCTCTTTTGTTGGCTTTCAATACTTCTACCAACTTTTCTTCTTCTATGGAAGATAAAGAATTACTAATGATGACCGGTTTCTTTCCACCTTCTTCTAAGAAAACATACTTTAAATGTGGTGGTAATATTTTCAACTCCAGTTTCTTTTCCTTGACCTCTTCCTTGGTATCAATCTTCTCAAAATTCGCCTCATGCAATGGGAGTTCTTTTAACACCTCCAAGTCAGTCAAACACTCATTGATCAGTTCTTGTTCCTCTTCATTCAAATCTTCACATGCATAAATGAGAATATTCTCTAAAGGAGAAGAATAACTTACCATCTTCTCTTGCACCATATAAACTTCATCAAGCATGTCAAATTAGAAACATGCTTTATCATCCTTAGGATGTGACATAGCTTCAAACATATCAAAATTTACTTCTTCATCTTGCACTCTTACTTTAAGCTTGCCATTCTCCACATCAATTAAGACTCTTACAGTCTTCATAAACAGTCTCCCAAGAATGAGAGGCACATCTCCATACTCCTCCATCTCCATTATAACAAAATCTACCGGAAATACAAATTTTTCCACTTTCACAAGCATATCTTCAACCACCCCACAAGGGTATTTAAGAGACCTGTCCGTCAATTGGAGTGTCATTCTAGTAGGCTTGAGTTCTAAACCCTCAATCTTCTTAAACATAGAGAGCGACATTAAGTTGCTCCCAAATCAATTAATGCTCTTCAAACTGCTAATTGTCCTATGGTACAAGGAATGGTGAAGCTTCCTGGATCTTTAAACTTGGGAGGTAATAATTTCTGTATGATTGCACTACAGTTTCCTTGCACTTCAATGGTCTCCTTTTCAATGTATTTTCTTTTCTTTGTGAGGAGCTCCTTCAAAAACTTTGCATACGAAGGCATTTATTCCAATGCTTTAGAGAAAGGTATGGTGATTTCTAACTTCTTAAATATTTCCATGAAATGCTCGAATTGTTTTTCTTTCTCCTTCCTTGAATAAATCTTTGGATAAGGAAGGGGTTTCTCTAAAATTTTCTCTTTTTTTCTCTCGTCCTCTTCTTCTTTCTTTTTTTCTTCCTCAATTCTCTCCTTTTCTTTTATCTCACTTTCTTCCTCCTCTTTCTTTTTCCACTCAACTTCTTCTTGTTCACTCAAATTCTCTTTCTCTTTTCTCTCTACTTTTCTCTCATCTAACACCTTGCCACTTCTAGTAACAATGGTCTTACACTCTTCCCTCAGATAACCTTTAGCACTCATCTCAAAAACCTCCATCTTTTTTACCACCTTCCCAACTTGCATCTCCATACTTATAAACACAATCTCCGTATTTTTATTATACGAAATGCTCATTTGCATAAATTGCTAGAAAGTTTCCTCAATCTTTGTGATCTTCTCGAATGAAGAGGGTTGTTGTTGCCCTTTGTTTTGTTGCTGCTGAACCTGCGACACATTTTGTATCTCTTGTGGCAATTGAGAGAGTTTCTTCGTCAAACTCTCCAATTGTTGAGTGCTAATCTTATTTTGTGCAAGCAGAGCATCATGAGATTGTAACTATAGGACTCCCTTCTGCTAAGGTGGAACTCCTCTTTCACTATGCATCTCATTGTCATTGGTAGCCATGTTGTCAATCAATTCATAGGCTTCCTCTAGAGTTTTGCACTTGATATTACCTTCAACTGAGGCCTCTAACATCAATTTGGTTTGTGAACCAAGACCTCCAAGGAAAAGAATGATTATTGTTGCTTCATCAAAGCCATGTTTCTCAGCAAACTCTTGTATCTATCCCATGCTTGACCTAAAATTTCTTCCATGACCTGCCTGAAAGAAGAAATTTCTTATTTACCTTTGTTGATTTTTTACTGTGGGAAGTATTTGTTTAGAAATTTTGCAACCATAGCTTCCCATTCAGTAAAGCTATCCTCCGGGAAAGAATTCAACCATAACTTAGCATTGCTTCCTAGTGAAAAAGGAAACAAACTAAGCTTTATAGCGTCACCCGACACTTCATTGATCTTCATAATGTTGCAAATCTCGTTGAATGTAGTCAGATGCTCATACGGACTTTCATGTGACAGTCCATTGAATTGGTTGCTCTTTACCAATTGAATCAATGCAGGCTTTACCTCCATGTTTGCAGCATTGACCCTCGGTCTTGCTATGCTGTTAAAATGATGAGGATCAACAACTGTTGTGTAATCTGCTAGAGTACATCTGCCATTATTCTCTCCAGCCATCTTTTCAGTGCTCTGGTCAGATGCTTGCGTTGAAGGTTGTAAAAGTGTCTCTGGAGAAGGGAATAATTCTCTAGACGTTCGGATTCTCCTTCTCCTTCTACTCTAGTCCAATCCTTCAAGAAGAGGTTCAGAGTTTTTCTTGCTTCTAGTACGAATTTTATCCTACACACACAAGAAAACAAAACCCTAGAAAACATTTATTAGCACAAAACAAAAAAAAATAAAAAAAAATCAAGTCAAAGCTAATCAATAATCACACAAATAGAACCGTTAAATCACGAGTCCTTGACAACGACGCCAGAAACTTGTTAAGACTCCGGCAAGTGTACCGAATCATATCAAGTAATAAACATGGTAAGACCAAGTATCGTTTCCCAAAGGACTCAAAGCCTAAACAATTATGTGATTTCTTGATTAAATAAGACTTGAAAACAAAATCTTTTGCTTTAAAATGTAAACACAAAAAAGTAAGTATGCATGCAACTTAATCAATTGGACAAAAGTGTAGAGATGAACGAATGAATTTGATATTATGGGATGAATATGTTGTTGGGGTTAGATTTCACCTAATTTTCTCTCATGTATATACGAATTCTACTTCTACATTAATGTCAATGTCACTATCTAAAGTATTAAAAAACCTGATTCCTCGACGAAGAAACTTGTTGGGGTTAGGTCACAATTCCTTCATCCCTAAAAATTAATTCTGCATTACGATTAGAAGCTTAAGACAACCAAAACTCATACCACCATTCTTGAGCAATACTGCTTCTGGAAATAATTGTCCAGAACCTGAATTGTATGATACCATCCGGTACTCATGCAAATCATACATCATGCTAACAAATGAGTTAAACAAAGCAAACATTGAGTGAAGAAGAATTATCCTAACAATTAACGAAAGAAGCATATATAATTAAGAATCATTTCAATACATGTGAGTTTACAAATGTTTACATCATTCCCCAACAACAAATAGAATTTAGTTCACCATTTACATGGTGAAACTAGATGAATAATGGAAAAGAATGAAAGATAAAACCCTAGAAGTTGAAGATAAGAGCTTCCGCATCCAAATCCACCTCCGAGGGGTCAAAGGGTGTGTTTCTGCGCCTCTTCCGTCCAAAGGTATAATCCCTAGGACGTCCAAGGCCTTAAATAGAACATAAAAATAATAGAAAACGGGTCCAAGCCCACGAAACTGGCGTTCAATGCCCCACTTAGGGCGCCTAGGCGGCGTGCCGAATCATCTAACGCTCAAGGTCAGCTCAGAAGGCAAGCAAGCGTGGTGCAACTCGAGGAAGTGGCGCGAGACAGGATCTTCCTGCGCTGAAGGCTTCAGAAAAAGGGCAGTCAAGCGTAAGACACTGTAATTTGTCGTTTAGGGCCCCTGAAATGGCGCTCAGCGTTCTTGCATTCCTCCTTTCTTATGCTTTTCCAACTCTTCCTAAGTTCCAACTCCTTACTACTTCAACTCTTCTTCCAAATCATCTAAATTCCTGTTAAAAACAAGGAAATCTAGCATAGAATCATTAGATTCACCTTCAACTCTCTTATTCACACTAAACTATGATTTCAAGCTAGTTTCTAAGTCAATAAGGGTGTTTTTAGTATCAAAATTAAGTATCAAATAACGGTAAATTCAACCGTTATCAATAGCGGTGTTACTATAATGGTTATAGTAGGTAGTTAGCGGGTACATAAACCAAGGGTCTAAGTGTAAGGTGTTGGAGATTACATCAAGGGTTAAAGATTGAGGATCGAGGATCGAGTAATTAATTATGTTTGAATTCACTAGTCGAAAAACAGCGTATTTCGTTGGTTATTTTGGTATTTAACGATGAATTCGAGACTGACGTCATATCGGGTGATGTAAATTTTACATCGAATATCATTGGACGAAGTTACTAGAAAAATTTAATGTCCAGTGGATCGATAATTGACGTAATTCTAACATCGATAATGTGCAACAACGTGAGGTTACGTCCATTAGTAAAGAGAATGACGTCCAATTTGAATAGATATTTATATTTATAGTAAGATTTGTTGTCTAATGTATGAGGGAATTGACATAAAGTTGACGTCGCTGTGGAAATTACCCACGCGTGAGTGGGCAATAAAGGAGTTTATTGATTAAAATTTGATTAAAAGTTGACGTAATTCTATCATGTACCAACAACTAGTGAGTTTATTGATTAAAATTTGATAAAAGTTGACAATATTGGGAAACACATACGCATCAACGTATGGCGCGATATATATCTCTCTGTTAGACTCAGTCATCCATGTTTGAATATATAATTTTCTGGAATCTAATGTGTTTCCAAATGCTTGAATGGTTTGAGGTTCAAGAAAGTCATAAGCTGACGCCCGACCTGATGTCCATGTACCTATAAGAATAAAGTTAAGTATACTTATTAAAAAGTAATAATACTAATATACAAATTGGAATATAACAAATAAAAAACTTACATGCACCATAGTTGTATGCATGAAATGTTGAGCATTTTTTCTCCACAAATGATCTCATATGCATCATCGAAATTAATATACAATGGAACATGGCACTCGAGGCCAAATGTTCTTAACTCCCACAATAGCTCTACCGGTCCTTTTCTCAACTTATTCAATCTCGAGGTCAATATGGATATAGGATCATGGTCTTGTGCTTCCTCACGAGCCTCATTCATTGGTTGAGCCATTGGTTGTTTCTCAGGATGGTAGACCTGCAACTCACATTTACAAAAGTTAGGAATCATTTAATTATAACTTGAAGATTTAAGATAATAAAAAGAAGAATATAATAACGTTGGTAGGCCAAAATATGGCACCATCATAGCCTTAGGCCACAAATTGGATTTCAGATGTAGGCACTGGCACTCGAGCCTGAGGGTGTCTTGGATCATCAATCATTACCCGCGCGTGAGTGGGCAATAAAGGAGCACCATGAATGGTCTGGCCTCCTACAATCTGTCGTCCCACGGCCACTACGCGCGGANTATGTTGTTTAAAATGTACAAATGAGCTTGATTAACTTCTTTTCCACTAACACTTTCAATCCTTACTCCTCGAAGTTCCTTGCCTTCACGTCTGTTTTCATGTCTTTTCTTTGGAAGTCCTATTGGGTCACAACTTGGCATATAACTTGAGTAGAATTCAATGGCTTCCTCTGCAATGTAGCGCTCTATAATCGAAGCTTCCAGTCTCAATTGAGTCTTAACATATCCCTTTAAAATCTTCATGTATCTTTCAACCGAGTACATCCACCTCAAGAAAACCGGCCCACATATTTGAATTTCTCTCACTAGATGGACAATCAAATGAACCATGATATCAAAAAATGAGGGTGGGAAATACATTTCCAATTGGCACAATAGTGTGATGGCCTCATTTTGCAAATCATCTAACTATCGAGGATCAACAACTTTTTTGCAAATGGCATTAAAAACAAACTCAAACG